ATATATATATATATATATATATATATATATATATATATATATATATATATATATATATATATATACTTGTGCTGTTTGTCTCCTCAGCTCCTTCTGTATTATCATTTACTTTATTTAAATCTTTATATGGGGGCGGTACCGTCCCCACAAAAGAAAGAGAAAAAATATTAGCTTTATTATATTCTTCTTATATAAAAGGAGACAAAGGAGACAAAGGAGACAAAGGAGACAAACAAAACAAACTGTCTCCTTTTTCTTTCTCTTCTTCTCTCCTTCTATATAACAACGACCTCACACAACCCGTATATTTCACAAACCAAACCCTGGGGCCCTCAGCCTTCTCCTCCTCCACCACAGGGGGCCCCTCCTACGGGGGCCCCCTTGGGGGCCCCCTTGGGGGGCCCCTTGCAGGCCCCCTTGGGGGCCCCCTTGGGGGGCCCCTTGCAGGCCCCCTTGGTGGCCCCCTTGGGGGGCCCCTTGGGGGGCCCCTTGGGGATCCGCTCAGGGGGCCCCTGGGTGGGTCCGTTGGGGGGCCCCTGGGTGGGTCCGTTGGGGGGCCCCTGGGTGGGTCCGTTGGGGGGCCCCTGGGGGGCCCCCCTTCTTCAGTACCCACCTTGGGGGGCCCCCATGAAGGGGGTTCCTCCTCACTGGAGGCATCAGGGGGGCCCCCCTTTGTTGGTGTGTATAGAGGGTCTGAGGGTTTACTTCCTGGGGCCCCCAAAGCAACGCTAACAGATGTGGGACAGCCAATGGGGGTTTGGGGCTTTGTTGATACTTGCATGCGCATGCATGCAGAAGCATACGCATGGAACCCCAAATACCACCACACACAAACAAGCCAGGGGCCCCCCTCAAGGGCCCCCGCAGCGGGGCCCCCAGGGGCCCCCACAGGGGGCCCCTCAGGGGCCCCCACAGGGGCCCCCTCAGGGGTTTCTATTGAGGCCTCTGGGGGGGCGCTTAGTGGGGCCCCTGGGGGGGTCCATAGGGGGGCCCCCGGGGGCCCCCAAGACTGCAGGGGGCCCCCTAGGGGCCCCCTCAGGGGCCCCCTCAGGGGCCCCCGCGGTGTATGCAGGCTTGCAGAGCGTTTGCGTGAGGCGATTGGTTTGTGTGTGGATTCTTCTGACTGTATAAAAAGT